TATATATATATATATATATATATATATATATATATATATATAATGCAGTTCTCAGCTTGGGCTTTATTCATTGTTTCTAGGGGGGCTTTTAGGAGAAAAATTTGTTGTGAGACAACTTCTGCCTATTTTACGGAGTATTGCTTCCTCTTGCATTGCTCTTGCGTACATGGATAAGCCGGAGCCTGTGCAGAGCTGGAGTTCTCTAGCTTTAATTGATTGTCTTGCCACTTTGGATGGACTCATTGCAATCTTGACAAGGGACGCAGTCATCAGTGAACTTTTTCAGGTATGGACATTCCCTTAATGTTGTTATGGTGCTTCTTTCATTCTTTTTGTTCTCTTGTGATTATGCTTCTGTCTTCATTTTCCAGGACGAGGTCTGTCTCCATGTTAAGGTTCTGATGCAGAAACATCTCGACTTGGTAGTGCTTCAGGTGTGTTTTGGTTTGTTCTTCAGTGCTTGCTTTTCTTTTTACCCTGTTCAGTTCAATTTTATAATGTTTTTATAATACAAATGACTATATGAACTTCTTTCTTACCAGATCAATTACACTGCTGTCTAGGTTGTTTTGATGAAAATATGCTCCATTTGGTTAAAACTTACTTGTCCTTGTTGTTTAGGTTGCTGCAAATGCACTTGTGGCAGTTTGCCAAAGGATTGGACTGGATGCCACAGCATTGCACATCCTTCCACAGCTCAAAGAGCTCTTTGACGAACTAGCGTTTTCACCAGAGATAAGTCATGGGCCAGGTTCTCAGGGATTGAAAGCAAATGTTGTTAAATCAAAATCTGATGAAGAAGCTCAAATTGTGAGCCGTTCTGATCTTGTGTAAGCCTCAGCCTAAATTTTACCTACTTCAGTGCATTTTGACTTTAAAAGGATTTTTCATGAATTTTTGTTGGTAAGTTCCAAATAATTGCCACATCCTGCATGACTGGACATATCTGAGATTAGGATTTGTGCCCGGTGACTTCGTAAAACTGATTTCGCAGTCAATACTGAGAGGGTGGACACTGTGTCCTTCAAGACTTTCAAGGCTGGGGTGAGGACAAATGATCGTCATGACTTTGAGCATGGAAAGGCAAACACCAATAACCAAGGGGTGGATAGTCTTGTGAATGTAATTGGTAGGCGTGGCCTGAGAGAGGACTCGGGTCAGCCCTTGAGATACTTTGGTCGAAAACAAGATATATGCAAGCCCATGGTGAAAGTTAGGGTAATCGGGACTTGAGATCCATAAAAAACACACTTTTCCTTGTGTGAAATACAGTTGTCATTTGACTTGGTTCACGAGTAATCAGGGAATAATTCAGACCAGCAGCCACCTATATGTTGTTTGGCTTTTTATGTTATACCTATCTGAAAACCATTCACAGACTTAGAGGCCTTCTTCTGCTTTTCTGATAGTTAAAGTTAGCTTAGATGGTATTGATGTTGTAGAGTTCATCGATAAGTTTCCAACGAGTGGTCATATGCTTATACTAGAGTCTCAAGTAGAAAGTTGTCGCCTTAGAGGTGGTATTGCTCACCGTGGCCCTGTTTGGTTGGTTGCCCATTGGAGACTGTTTGGTTGCACGCAAATTTGATGGAGGGCAAAATTTTTCTTATTTTTTATTTTTATTCAATTTCAAAGATGTATATTGTAGTTTTAGTTTTAGGGTTTGTTTCTAGGTTTTTTAAGTTTTTTAGAGATTCTAGTATTTTTATTTTTTATTTACTATTCCAAGTACTATTTATGGTATTGTTTATAGTTACTGTTCATGTGTTACTGTTCATGTGTTGCTGTTCACAGGGGTATTTTTTAAATTATAGTATTGTTTTAGGGGTATTTTAAAGTATTAAATGTTTACTTTGATCTCAAGTTAAATTTGGATTTCATAGGCTTAGAAAAGGTTGGATGTCATATTTTGGGAGGCATATATTATCGGTATAAATTTTATTTTATGAACGAAGAAAGTTATTCTTCTCTTGGCTTAATTTACAACCATGTTCTTTCTCTATTATTGCTGATTTTACTTATTCAAGGTTCAAGAAAATACTGAATTCAATTTCCCACCTTTTCCTTCCTACATCAAGTGGTATCAAAGCATGGTTCGAGGACGGCTGGAGATTGCGATGGCTTGTCGTGGAGGTCTTAGCCGTAGGGTTGCCGATTGATCCAATGCCGCAAGGAAATCAACAACTTGACGGAGACGGTTACAAAGTTATTACTGCACAAGCGACGCCAGCAACAACGTGCCCTAAACGAAGACGAATTACTGTGATAGATCCAAATGGTGAGGGTTTTGATGGAGAATGACGTGAATCAAAGTTTGACTCAGAGTTGGAGCGGACTGATGAAGCCTTCAACCACCTGTTCTATGCACTCTCTTCGCGTTGGGAGCCTCATGTTTGAGAGAATAAATTATGGGATTTAGTTGATATAAATGATTTGAAGGAAAACGAGGTTAATTTTGGTGTAGGTTGTATCAAAAATCAACAGGTTGTAGATTGGAATTTGCCACCAATTTTTGATACATAGATGATGAACAAGATCTTGTAAATGATCCAATCTATGATGATGATTAAGATTATGTGGGTGAACCGATCTATGACGAAGAAAAAGATAAAGATCTTAAGGATATTAAAGAGGTGGAACATTTAGGAGATTTAGGGCATTGGAATCATAGTAACGCGGTGGAAGTGTGGTCGATTCAGAATCTGCAAATTGTGGCTCTGGTTTTAGAGAGTAGTGAAATAGATATGGAGAAAGCCTTTAGAGAACATAGAATTGAGTTTGAAGCTTCCCACACAATTTTCAATAGGAGTTCAGAGATATCCATATTTGATAAATTTGCATTGATTCCTCAATATGGATATCCGTTTCTTGAGGAATTCTTTTTACCTCGAATATAATATTTGATCTGACAAAAAATAGAAAGTTGAAGAAAGTGGTTTTGATGTCAAGTTCATCTCAACACACTTCAAAACTCGAGGACAAGTTTTTTCCAACCAGGGGAGAATGATGGAGGGCAAAATTCTTTCTATTTTTTATTTTTATTCAATTTCAAAGATACATATTGTAATTTTAGGATTTATTTGTTGTTTTTTAGTTTTTAGGGATCTAGGGTTTTGATTTTTTATTTACTATTCACAAGTACTATTCATGGTACTATTTATAGTTACTACTCACGCATTACTGTTCACAAGGGTATTATTGAAATTATAGTATTGTTTCAGGGGTATTTTAGAGTCTTAAATGTTTACTTGGATATCAAGTTAAATTCAGGTTTCATAGACTTATAAAAGGTTAAATTTCATATTTTGGGAGGCATATGTTATTAGAATAAATTTTATTTTATGAAAGAAAACAGTTGTTCTTCTCCTGGCTTACTTTACAACCATGTTCTTCTCTATTATTGCTGATTTTACTTGTTAAAGTTCAAAAAAATAGTGGATTTAATTTCCCAACTTTCCTTCCTGCATCAAAATTGCAGACAATTCTATTCCCACCAGATTTGTTATAGCTTGTTTGGAAGCACAGTAAAGTTGTTTATATAATGGGCAGGTTTCATAGCTTGAAGGAACCCCAACCTTTAGGGGTGGGATTTAACTAGGTAAAATTTGATTTTCCTCCTTGCACTAGGAAGAGAGCCTTTTTAGGATAGCTTGGTAGGAATTTCCACTTCCCATCAATTATACCCTGTTCGGTAGAGATTCCTACCTCCCCGCATATAATACGGGTAATTAATTTACTGTTTGGAGACACAAATGCAGTTTTGGACATAAGTCTACTACCAACTCTAAAGGCTCCTATGGGTGAAATAGTCTCAACACAACATAGAAGTGCTTGAGTTTCTCATCCTCTTGGTTCTCAAATGAAGAAAAGATATATGTAAAAGTCGCTGGTCTGAAACTGGTTATCCCATTGAGGAATGGAGTCAATGATTGCTAGAATAAAAAGAGGCGAGTTATGTTGGCCAAGGATCACTTGCATTTGTCAAGTTGAGGCCACATTTCTCTTCGGAGGAGTGAGGAGAGGACCACGTGTCTCTTGCATCCAACAAGGAAGGATAAGGGGACTCCTAAAAGTTGTATAAATTAAAATCATCAGCATCATCATCATCATCCAACCTCCAAACTATTTAGGGTTTGCTACACAAAAATTATTCCGCTATTCTGCTCTATCAAGGGTCATACCTTCAGTAAGACCATAAGTCGCCATATCTATCCATGTCCTTTTGGACCTTCCCCTTGCCCTTTTAGAGCCTTCCACTTGCACCAAATCGCACCCCCTAACCGGTGTTGTATAAGGTCTGTTTTGCACATGGCCGGCCCACCTACGCCTACTTTCTCACATCTTATTGCCTATTGAAGCCACGCCTAAATCCTCTCCAATGTATTTATTCCGGATTCTATCATTTCTTGTCTTGCCACTCATCCATCTCAACATCCTCATCTCAACTGCATTTATCCTATGGGTATATTGTTTCTTAATTGCCCAACATTATGTCTCATGAATCATGGTTGGTCTTACAACTGTTTTATAGAACTTTCCCTTCAATTTGATTGGTATGCAATCATATAAAACTCCGGATGTACATCTTCACTTCGCCCATCAAACTCTAATTCTATGTGCGATGTCTTCCTCAATCTCTCTATTTCACCTGGATTATCGACTTAACATATTGAAGATAATCTCCTTTAGGTATTTCTTGGTCATCAATCTTAACTATTTTCTCGTTTTTACTCTTGTTATTATGGAACTTGCATTCCATATATTTTGTCCCAATTCGGCTAATTTTAAAACCTTTAAATTTTGGAGCATCTGTCCAAAGTTCTAACTTTGCATTGATGCCGCCTATAGTCTCATCAATCAAAACAATGGCGGCTGTGAACAACATACACTGTGGTATCTCGTCTTATATGAGCCTAATTAACTCATCCATAACTGAAACAAAGAGATATGGGCTCAGTGTTGAGCCTTGATGAGGGCCTATTGTCATTGAGAACTCACTTGTCTCTCACCTAGTTGTCATCACACTAGTTAGTGTCCCTCATACATATCTCTCACAATGTGAATATAGCCTCTGGAGACTCCTTTCTTTTTTAGCCCCCACTAAATTAAATTTCTGAGTACCATATCGTATGCTTTCTTTTAAATCAATAAGGAACATGTGAAGGTCTTTTCCCTTCTCCCAAAACTTCTCAATTACCTAAGTAGGAAAATGACCTCAATTGTTGACCTTCCTGGCATAAAATTGAATTGATTCTTGTTACACTCGTTTCATGCCTTAGTCGTTGCTCAATCACTTTCTTCCACGACTTCATAGATGACTCATATATTTGATCCTTCGATAGTTCATACAATTCTTCATGTCTCTTTTGTTATTGTAAATAGATGCCACAGTACTTATTCTCCATTCTTTTGACATTTTCTTTATTCTCAATATCTTGTTGAACATCTTGGTGAACCAACATCTGGCAATCTCCTTTATGCACTTACAAACCTCTAGCAGATACCATCTGGTCCTAAAACGTTTCCTATCTTCAAATTTTTCAAAGCTTCTTTCACTTCAGATACTCAATCCTATGAATGTATCTATGAGTTGTCCTCATTTATGTCAATAATTTTTTAACATAAATTCTCCACCTTTTATTGACCTCGTCATTCTTCACTAAGACCCTTTGATCCTCACTCGTAATACATTTAATATGAAAGAGTATAAGAGAGATTAAGTTCAAGAAAGTGAGAGATGTGTGCACGAGAGAGAGAGACGGAGAGAGTCATGTGAGAAGGAAGGAGAGTGGGGTAACATTATTGTCCTCTAGACACTCCACGCTTCACC